TGGTTCTCTCTCCTTTTCCCTTCTTCTCTCTCTAAAATCAATAAAAGTGTATTAAGAAATAAAATAAATGAAGTTACAGGGTGATAGTATAATCTCATTTGAAAAAGGAAACCAGAGTCTTCCCTATCTCTGTGTTTTTTAAAAGCATGGAAAACGTCTGTTGGGAGGAAGAGAGCAGGAGAACAGAGTCATAGGAAGAGCTAAGCTCCCTCTCTACTTTTTCTGGCATTGAACTGCTGGGTAATCATGGTTAAATTTTTAATTTTGATACTTAACTTTTAAGACCCCGCTATAGATGCAAATGAGGAGGAAGTTTCTAAGAGGGTTTTAGGGTCTATATTTTGGTGATCATAAGTTTTCTTGCTCATTTCAGAATATATCTTAATCCATTTTTTTTTTGGTAACTATAATCTTGATCAAAGTAATGCCTAAGAAACTGGACAATATGTGACACAAACCACAACTGATGGCTCAACTCTATTCAGTGTCAAGAAGAAGGAATTAAATAGATGTAAATTCTCCATTTGAGGGCCTCAGGATGGCATCTATATTGCCGTTATTAACTGGTGTCATTCTTATCAAAAGTCTTCCCTGCTCAACCCCATCCTGCTCAACCTTTGTTTTTAAAGTAGAGATTACCACATAGCAAAATAAATTCAAAATGTATTAAAAATGTAAATCAAAGAAATAAACTCAAAAGATATAATATATATCCAACAGGTCTCAGGATGAAGAAGGCCTTTCTTAGGTGAAAAGCAGAGGAAGAAAACATAAATGGAGAAAAATGTCTAAATTTGTTTAGACAGGAAAGCCAACTGATTCTCAAAAATCACAGTAAGCAAAGTAAAAAAATAAAAACTGGGAAAAATATGGCATAAGATTAATATTCTTATGCATGTAAAGCCCAACAAGAAAAATGAACAAAAGACATGAACGAGTATTTCAGAAGAGAAGTTAAAATGTTCATAAAGCCAGAAGCAAATAACTACCTCCATTAATAACCAAAGATTAAAAAAACCAACAACGCAACAGTATTTTTAATCTTCCATATGTTGGCAAAGATAAAAAACAGTGGTGATACCTGGTATTGGCCACACATGGGAAGCTCGCAGCCTCAGTTGCTGTTGGTAGAAATAGAACTCAAAGCAAGATGATCAAGGTCCTATAGCCAGGTGGTATGAATGTAAATTGGCATAATTGCAAATAGTTTGGCAAGTTGGCAATTTGTATCAGAAGTCTTAAACCTACTATACACAGGCCTTGAAATTTCTAGTACTTTCAACAGAGCAACAGCTTAGTGGCTTTACAGATTCTGGCCAATACTGCTCGAATACATTTTAGGTGACTCTCTTTTTACTTATGGTGACTTATCAATGATAAGATTTAATACTTTAATAATACCTTTTAGTTTACTTTGTGAATAGTAGCAGAAATATTAAAAAGAATAAAATAAAAACAAAATTTAATTCTTCAGGGCAATAACCAAAAACAAACAAACAAACAAAACACCCCTACAAAACTTGGAAATAACTTCAGTGAGCAATGCTCTGGATATGTAAATAAAATCACACAACTTTTAGAAGTTTAAAATAAAACTTGACTAAGTATAGATGTATGCCAAGTTCTTGACTGAAAAGACAAAATGTAGTACATACATCAACTCTTTTTAATTTAATTTAAATATATTTTTATTGATTTCAGAGAGGAAGGGAGAAGGAGAGACAGAAACATCAATAATGAGAGACACTCATTGATTGGCTGCCTCCTGCACACCCGCTACTGAGGATGGAGCCCACAACCCGAGCAGGTGCTCTTGATCACAATCAAACCTGAGACCCTTCAGTGCACAGGCCAATGCTGTATCCACTGAGAAAAACTGGCCAGGGCTCCATAAATTAATCCTATATAATAAAAGCCTAATATGCAAATCGGCTGAATGTCAGAACAACAGGTGGAATGACCAGTTGCTATGATGTGCACCGACCACCAAGGGGCAGACACTCAATGCAGGAACTGCCCCCAGCCCACAGGCCCCAGGGCAGCCAAAGTGGGTGCCTGTGGCCCCCACACCTCCCCGGTCACCCCGCCAGTCACCTCAGGCTGGCCAAGATGGGTGCTAGCAGGTGTCCCCCTGCCCCCCAATTACCCCACCAGTCACCCTACAGATTGGCCCTGATCGCTGGCCAGGCCTAGAGACCTACCCATACATGAATTTTTATAAATATAATACAAT